TACTGTAAATGCTCGACATGCCAATAAAGCTTTGATTATGCTGACTGGAATTTTTGCTGGAATGCAGTTTAAATTTAACATATATTTCATTTTATTTCAGCTAATTAATAGACCATAATTATAAATAGGCCTACTATAGTGTTTAGTTGAGGAATTAATCATTCACATAGTTTCATTTGTAAATGAAAACACAACACGCTCATTTATCATCACACATGGGCATAAATGCAATCATAAAGTCAAAACTTTATTGGCATAATTTTCAGGCGTTTATTTGCAAAATATATGGTAGGCTAGCAAATGCTATCATAATTATACAAAACGTTAACTAGGTAAAGCAATACACAAATTGAAAGGGGAAATAAGCATATATAACAATAAATATAAAAATATAGCCCTATTAAGTTAATGTAATAATAACAATAATAATATACAAATAGCCTATTAAATTAATTGTTTAATGTTAATAAAAATGTTTTATCTATTTTTGATAATCCCGGGTTGCTATGGTCACGCAGGTTTGTTTACGCATTAAACTCGTGGCCACGAGAAAAATATGTCGTTCCCTCAACATAAGAAGTCGTGGCCACGGGAAATGGATGTTGTTCCCTCAACATAGCATCTCGAGGCCACAACATAAGGATGTTGTTACCTCTACAAAATGATCTCGTGGCCACGACATAAGATCACGTTCCCATGAGTTAATATGACGTTCCCTCAAATTAATATCTCGTGGCCACGACATATTATCACGTTCCCACGAGTCGTGGCCACGACAAAACTAAGTGAACCGAACATGTCACCTTACAGGCACCGTACAAAGGAGGTCTGAGATGAACATTAACATTATGTTAACATTAATAACATTTTGATAGTGTTAAAAAGAGGTGTTCTCTATAAATGAATTTCTTGTTTATTCACTGTTATGTTTAATAAATAAGGACTAAGGGATTTGAGCTTCAAAATAAAAAAAACACCAAAAAAAGTATGATAAATGGTCTGGTGATGACTATTTAAAAATGTAATTAAAAAAGTAGGCACATTATTCAAAGCTTCTCCTTTTGTGTTCCATGAAGGAATGTCAAGCAAACAATGTTTCAAACTAAATTAATGATGACAGAATATTAATCTTTTGGTAAGCTATCCTTTAAAAAGGAATTCAAAAATTCCAAAAAGTTGTAATAAAAGACATTATTTTAAAGGGGACCTATTATGCCCCTTTTTACAAGATGTAATATAAGTCTCAGGTGTCCCCAGAATGTGTCTGCGAAGTTTCAGCTCAAAATAACCCACAGATCATTTATTATATCATTTTGAAAATGCCTATTTTACGTAGAAGCAGAAACACGCTGTTTTTCGTGCATGCAAATGAGCTGCTGCTCCCCGCCCCCTTTTCCAGAATAGGGCTGTGCCTTTACAGCTCGTACCTCAGATACTCTGCCAAAACAAATCATCTGTTTGCTTTTGATTATTTTGATTCGAAGCATGCACACAGAAAGCGGCTGTCACACGGCATGTGAGCACTAAACTAAGTTCTCTTACATGTCTTATCATGTCATTTTCATATTAAAAACACATAAGTTACAAGAACACAGTCTGTTATGTCTGTGAACGCAAACAGCTGGGAAAGAAATTGCATGTTTATTATATTAGATCTGTGTATTAAGTGACAGCAGCGTAATATACATTACTTATCATGCTGTCTACGCTGTGAATATGACCCAAACAATAAAATAAAAACAGAAAATTACTTCACTGCTCTGGACTGAATACCTTCTATAGCTTTAATAAGAAGACATTTCTAATACGACAGTGTCCGTCAACAGTCGTGGGCGGGGCATGTGAAATGCGACGTCACATTTGACAGATTCTGCAAACGGCTTGTTCTGAGACACTGCTTATGATTTATGGGGATTAAAAAAGGAGTGGATTTTTATCATTATAGTGTGGTTGTGTACACACACTGCCAACACACATTTATGTTCAAACAACATGTAAAAGTAAATTTTGCATAATAGGTGCCCTTTAAAGGAAAGCTCTGGGAAATCTACCTTGGTCTCCCTTCACTTATTTCCTATTTGGGATTTTGATTTTATGTTCAACTTTAAGTACTAAAAACCAAATGTTGTCTTTTTGTAACCAAAAATTATTTGTAAAATCCTTAGAATTTTTTCATCGAAGGCCCCCCAGGTCCAATGGGATTTTCAGGTCCAGTGGGGCCCAGAGGTCCAGATGGATTTACTGTATGTATTAAATCTATATATCTATCTAGACTGTCTACAAAGACCATCTCTCTACAGACTGTAATTTCACTGTTCTCTCCCTCCACAGGGTGTGCCTGGTCCACCTGGTCCTCCTGGACCTCCAGTAAGTTCAGCTAAGGGAACAGTTTTGAAATAGCATAGTTTACGTTGCATAATCCTATCATGTTTAAAACGTCTTCCTCCTGTCAGGCAGTATGTAAACATATACAGTATGTACTTCTGAGCACTAGCACTTGCTTTGGAATGAAAGTAAATAGTGCAATCATTACAGATGCATTAAGTATTATAATTGTCTGCTTTAAACTGTAGCTCCTGAAGTGTCAATTGTTAAGTATAAATGTCCTTTAGTAAAAGTGATCTCTGACTCGAGAATGGCTGAAATAGCCATACATAAAGGTTTGATGAATGTCTCTGCTTATTCTACAGGGAAGTCCAGGTCAAGGATACAAAGGAGAGCCAGGAGAAAAGGTATGGGTTTCATCAGCTTACAAACTACTAAGCATTCCTCCACACACAACTGCTTTTAGTTTTCACCATTAGTGTCATTAGGTTCAGATAATAGCCTAATTTCATCCAATACTGTCAACATATTTGTTGCATAAACACTTAAGATGCATTTTAGATATAGATCTTTAGCTGAGTCCTGGGTGTTTGCTCGTGTTTGTTTGATTGTCTTAATGAGAGCATTTTTTCCTCTCTACTGAAGGTGTATTGCATGTGTTTGTTGGTGGTTGAAAACAAACACTTCTCTGAGTGTCTCTGATCTTAAAGACCCCAAGAAATTTTTTGATGACCAAAGTTTTCTGTCTTATGACATTTTTCCTATTTGACATTTTTATTATGACATTTTTCCTATTGAAACAGAAAGTCTTGGCAGGATATATCAAATGGCTTGTCCCTTTGTATTTTAATTTGACTTTAATTATGTCTCAGTCATTAACCGTTATTTTGTACTTGCTGGTTGGTTGCAGGAGAGAGGCATTCTTATTCTAAAGAGCATTAAACTGGACAGAAGTCTGTGTTGTGCAAGATGTATTATCAATATCTTTGCTTTCTTTCCTGGAAGAGAAAGACTGTAAATCCAAATGCTTATTTGTGAATATTTAGGATTACACTTAGCATATAGATGGCCTGGAAGCTAAAAGACATGGACTTAAAGCCCCAAAACTCTCATTTTGATTTCATGGGGTCCTACAATCTATATTTTCAAGTATTGAATGTTTTTTTCATATATCTGTAAAAAAGAAAAAAGAAAAAAACTCTTTAAAGAGACTGGCACACTCAGAGAATGGTTATAGTGTAACATTCAGTTCAAATAGTGTTTTAGTCTGCTAGGAGTCTGATTAATAACAAGCTAGCTAAGGAAAGGATATTACAATTATACTGCTTTTGCCTTGCACAATAACACTACATCACTCTTTCATTCTTATCATCTTACCCTATATCGTCTCACTCTAGATTTTCTTCTTGTCTTCCCTTTCTCCAAAATAGTTCTGTACTCCCAGCATGCCTATCTTGTTCCATTTATGTTTGAACCCATCTGCAGTATGTTTCCACTCATCTCAGCACACACTACACATAAAAGCCTTTTCCTGTAAAGGAATGTATCCTTATGGTATGTTCAATGTGGTAAATGCTGTTGAATCTTACTAATAAGCATGGTAACACTACAATTTGGAATGTATTTTCCTCTGCTTTTAAATGGCAGTTCACAGATTTCATAGGTGTACAGAACACTCCCGACAGTGTCCGTATACCTTGTAAAGCCACTCATACTGCGCGTGAAGTCTCTGAGCTGCTATTCATTTTGCTGTTTTTGAGTGGTTTGTGCTGGTGTTGGAATCACCTGCTCCAATCTTCTGTGTGCCTTTGTTTCCTTTGGTTGGGACACTTAACCCACAGAACTCAAGAGAAAACAAGGACCAGCTAGTTCTATATTCAATTCATTGAACTTGTCAGATAAATCTATGAAATAAATTCAAAATAAAGCAGTGGCAGCAATAATATGCATGCATTTGTAGCAGTAAATATTACAAAAGGAGCCCTTAGTCCTGCTGCTCTCACTTTTCATTTCACCTTTCATTCTCTATTACTTCTTTCCTGTTTATTCTCTGTAAAAAGCACTCTCTTTATGTTTGTCTTGTTTTCCAGTAAAAAATGTAAATAAAGATCCCATCAAATTTTGTGGCCTTTAGTCCATGTGTGTTAGCTTTGGCACCATCTATATGCTTGTGTACTCTAAACATTGACGGTAAAATTAAAGCAGATATACAGTACGCATTTACAGTCTTTCTCTTTTGGGGAAAAATGACCAAAAAGGCTGATGACTCATTCTGCACTACTACATGTTTCATAGAATTAAAATGCTTTCTGGAATGAAATTTTAAACCTGACTACTGACCAGCAAATAGCAAATTATGGTTCATTGCTGTGACACAACTGAAACCTTTTCTTCAAACACTTCAATATGTCAAATGTCCTCAAATAAAATTAAAAATAAAAGGCAACATGAGAAAATGCAGAAAACTTCATTCATCAAACAATGAAATGGGTATTTCACATACACTAAATTTAAAAGCAATATTGCATCAGATGAAGACTTTTCAGAGAAGTTGTCTTGAATTGCGTTCATTTTTCTTACACAAAACAAAACTTGCTAATGGGGTGAGAAATATAAACAGGATAAATATTAAGAATGTTGGGACATTTTTACTGGAAAATAAGACAAAAATACTGATAAGAATCTGATTTCTGCAGTGTTTCTTCTGCCTTGTTGTTCTCACACTCTTTCACTACCCTTTGTTTTCAGTCCTTTTCCTTTTATCTTAACACTCTCTCTCTCTCTCTCTCTCTCTCTCTCTCTCTCTTTCTCTTCTTACTCTTGCACTTTCCCTTTTTTCCATTAGCTTTTTCTGAACCTGACCAAGACTCTTTCTCTCTCCCTCTCCCTCTCCCTCTCTCTCTCTCTCTCTCTCTCTGATAAAATCCTGAACTCTAATGTGTCAAATGTCTGTGTTGTGGATCTCAGGGGGATGTTGGTCCAGCGGGACTCAGGGGCAGTCCGGCCGTTCAGTTTAACGCACCAGCAATAAGCACTATCTACAAAGGAGAGAAGGTAACACACAGGGGAGCGGTGATGCCAACCCAGGGAGAGGCACTGCCAGGGTGAGAGGGTGTGGATGGTGGGGGAGAGAGGAGCATTAGAGGGCACTGAGCCACATCATCGCTCCAGGGAAAATGGTCTGGAACATTCTGACAGTTTATCAATTGGGACTCACATTTGTAAACACCTTTATTATGAGAATGTTTTCTGAATACACATCATAGAAACCCTGACAGTTAATAGAGGGGGGATGGTTAGTTGAATAATGATTGAATGGGGAGAGATAAAGGCACATCTATTGTGTTAAATATGTGGTTCTTTACCAGAGCTCCTTTATTCTGCCTATGTCCATTCATCTCCTCCTCACCCTGATCTCCACGCTGCTCTGGCAGTGGTCACAGTCCTTTTAACGTCCTTCTTCAAAATGCAAAAAACTTACCACATGCCACCTCTTCAACATGCTCCGCCGCTACCGTCTCCAAACAGCCTCCCCATCACACCTCATCTTGTCCCATATAAAAAAAAATCTCTCTTCCTTGGTTACCGTGTCCAGGGAGATGTGGGCTCGCCCGGTGACCCAGGCCGCCCACTGGTCAATGGAGTGGTGGAGCTTGTTGGCTTTCCAAAAGGAGACAAGGGAACTAAGGTTTGTGAGGAAAATGCAGCTGTGAGGATCTAAACCTAGGATGAAGTCAATCGACACCGTCCTCCTCAAAATCTTTTCTACAGTTTCTTTGTCCCCTTGTACCCCAGACCTGCTATCCAGGAGGGTGACATCCACTTTGTGCTTGATGTATACATGCCATACGTCACCCTGTGGTGAACATTGAGGCTGGTGTCCGTAAAGTCTTCATATTTGTTGGTGATTTCATTCACATGTTCCAAAAATGCTTAAATTATGTGTGCATATTTACAGTGGCCCTAAAGGGACACTTCAGCAGCGCTTACAAATGTATAAATATCACTAATCATCTAATGTAGATAATGGTAGATAATATCTTGTTTTAATAAAAAGTAATACATTTGTGTGAAAGTTGTTGGTTCAAGTGTTAAATTAGTTTTTTGAAACTGTATACTTCCATTTAATGATTTACACTATTAAAACTTTTTTTAATAAATACTTTTATTCAGCAAGGATGAATTATTCGATCTCAAATGACAACAATGACATTTATAATGTTACAAAAGATTTCTATTTCAAACCATTTCTGTTCTATTGAACGTTCTGTTCATCAAACAATCCTGAAAACATTATCACAGTTTCCACAAAGCAGATTTTTAATTAATAGTATGTTAAGCTGCTCAACTGTTTTCTGCATTCATAACGATACAAAATGTTTCTTAAGCACCAAACAAAATAGAAAGCAGTTATTTGGTATAATACTGTATGTCACAGTACTGTTTTTATTGTATTTTCGAACAAATAAATGCAGTCTTGGTAAACATAAGAGACTTTTCAAAAAAAAAAAAAAACTCACCGAACTTAAAGTTTTGAAACTTTAAAGTTTTTTTGTTAAAATTTAAGATTCTTGTTTGTTTCATTTGGAGCCCAAATCACAACACAGGACGTTCAACTGAATTGAAATCTGTAGATTTCATGCATAGATTTGTGTACAATAATAAATTGCTGCATATTGTATTAAATATTGTGTAATATTTCTTCACCATAGAAATATCAGTATCATTGAATTTTCATCTTTTCTGCATTCACAGTACATATTCTTCACATACTGATTAACATTTATATGCCATTTTTTACAATAAAATACTAAAATATGGAGAAAAAATGTTTAAAGTTTAAATACCTTCAAAGCTCAGTTGATTTTCAGGTGTAAAATCTACTTAATCCCCAGCCCAGTCACAATTGTTTTGTTTTTTTTAAACACAAAGTGACATTATGAATTCTCAGTCTTCTTCCTTCTCTTTCTCTCTCTCTTTCTTCCTCAGGGTGATAAAGGCTATGATGGTACTCCAGGTTTTCCAGGGAGATCAGGACCACCAGTGAGTAATCAAAGACAGCTTGTTACCCCAATTCATGTTTGATATGTTGTTGTTTGAAACTGACATTCACATTTCTTCATTTCTTATGCATATATAGGGCCCATTTGGGTATAGAGGTGAAACTGGAGAAAAGGGAATCCTGGGCTTGCCAGGCTTAAGGGTAGGGGATGTTACTGCTACATTTTGTGATTCACCATAGGGTACAACATTTCAGAAGATTTTACACATCTTCTTTTGTTTGTTTATACTGTATTAGAACATTAAGTATACATTTTACATTTATATTTTATTAGTTTCAAATCAAAATTGAATTTCTTCTTCTGTATTGTTCGACATGGCAGGGTCCACCTGCTCTGAACGGTTCGCCTGGCCTTCCTGGGATAAAAGTAAGATATGAAACGCTTTACTTTAAACAGTTTTCCTCTTATATTTTAACTAGATACCAATCATCTTCTGTCTCCTCTGTAGGGCTTCCCTGGGACTCAGGGTTTTCTGGGACAACCAGGTTTTTCTGGCCCAATAGTAAGAACAGAGAACAGGAAAAACACAAATATATATTTCAAAACAGATATATGTTACACAATAGCATATTGTACTGTAAATATATTTTTAGGGTGACAGGGGAGACCCAGGTCCACCTGGGCCGATTGTGGAACCAGAAGTTGGAATTAAAGGTATCAGGAATCACCATTATTTCATTCATAGAGGTTGCATTCATTTTTACGAATTTTTTTATTTTTATACACTTTCGTGATCTTATATGTGGTAATTGCTTCTTCTAATCTCTCATGCACATGGTCACTCGTATGTATGCTGATGTACAGTCTTCAGAGATTGTTCAATTTACTTGTGCTTAGGTCCTCCAGGTGATCCTGGCTTTCCTGGTTATCCGGGGATAACTGGAGATACGGGTTTTCCAGGGTTTCCTGGTCAGCCTGGTTCTCCTGGAGCGCCTGCTTTTCTCACAGGTACTAGTGGAAAAACTTTTGCATTTTAAGGCTTTATGGCTCAAATCATACAGCTTGTTGAAGAGTATGATCTACAGTATTGCTTTAGTAACAAGAAGCCACGGTCAACACATTAGACTGGAGAGCACATGGTACATAGAAACAAATATCTATGTCCTAGAATCTATGTCCTCCCCTCAAAAATGACTCTTGGTTTTCTATTCAGGTCGTCCAGGCATCCCTGGGTTCCCCGGTAGTCGTGGACCCAAAGGACAGAGGGGAAACCGAGGTCGGAATTCTTATGGTCCTGAAGGTCTTCCTGGAAATCAGGGCCTTTCTGGACCTCCAGGTCTCCCTGGGCCACCGGGCAGTACACGTAAGCCTTTGCAGAAGATGATTTCATGAAACTTAAGAATTTGACAAATTAGATCCCACCAAGAAAGTAATTTTTGTGGGTCACATCAAACAGAAGTAGATCCTTGGGGTAGCAGCTGCAGGTTGCCACTTTTCTTATTTTATCTTTCTGTCTAGCAAACCAGTTCTCCGCTGGACAACCTGGTTTTCCAGGTCAGCTTGGTCCGAGAGGACTTCCTGGAGACAGAGGCTTTAAAGGGTTTAAAGGTAAGGCACTTTGTTGTAGAACTGAAATGAGAAGTATATGGTTTAATTTAGACAATTAAGTTGAATGTCACGCTTAGACTTCTTTCCTACTTGACTCTGTGCCCTTGCAGGAGAAAATGGTGACTGCAACTGTTTGGGTGGAGGAACGATTGGTGCACAGGGACCTCAAGGGCCTCCAGGGCCCCTGGGTATTACAGGCCTCAATGGTGCGAAGGGAGAAATTGGTGATCCAGGCTTCCCAGGACCCCGAGGTCCACAGGGCTTTGATGTAAGATATTAATTATTAAAACATTAGCTTGGATCAATTGGGCCAATGCCTTGATGTTTTTGGGGGGGGGGTACTGAATGATGTTACATGGAGAGGTAGCAACTTGGTAGTGAGAGTGGAGCAATATAAATCACAAAAGTTCACTGCCAAGGTTAAAGGTTTTGTTGTTTCTTTAGAAGTCAGGTGCAATGCATTGAATACCATATTGTCTTATTGATCCTTGAGAAACATTGGGATCATCAGGTAACTTCCGAAATTGTTTAAAATTATAGGTCTTGCTTTGCTTTTTGTTTTAGGGTCGTGCAGGTGATAGAGGCTTTAGAGGGCGTAAAGGAGAGAAAGGTAATACTTTCTTCCCAGGAGGCAGAGGACAAAAAGGTGATATGGGTCAACAAGGTCCTCCTGGACCACTTGGAGCAAGCGGCAACTCCGGAAGGGATGGATCTCCTGGCTTCCCTGGACAACCAGGCCCACCTGTGAGTAATTTTTCCTTTTCCTAATTTTCCTTTTTCTTACTGTCATTTCATTTTATAAGCTCTGTAGTTACTGCCAAAGAAGACGTGTGGTTCTTATTGCTTGTAGTCATTCTGATTCTGGCTTTCAACCAGTGAGATCTTTAAATTTCTAAGTTCTTTCTTTCAGGGGGAGCCTGGTTTTGGGGTGACTGGAGATAAAGGTTTTCCTGGTATTCCAGGGTCCAAAGGTCGTCCTGGTGACAGGGGTGAACCTGGTATTGGCTATCCTGGTGTAGCTGGGTTCAAAGGGTCACAAGGTGATCCTGGATTCAATGGTTTTCCTGGCACACCTGGACCTCCAGGTTCTCCAGGTAAGTAGAAGAAACACCTCAGTAAAACTTTAACAATAAGTACACAGTCTAAAATATTTAATTATATAAAAAAATACAGACTATGTGATATTATTTCTAAGTTATTATTACAGATTAATAATCTCGCATATAATGTATATGATAATTTTTTTTAAACAACTCATATTCATATACAGTGAATTGTATGTACACAAATGAAGGTAGTATTTTGTCAATCCAAGCCTTCTCAATCTCCTCAAGAGGCCCACTTAGCATATTAAACTTGTTTTGTGAGTTTACAGTACAATATTAAACAGAATAAGATGAGCTGGGCTGAAAGAGATTCAGTTTAGAGGTTGCTATACCTCATCTTAACAAGCTTTGGACGTGTGTCAGAGTGAATGGGTGTGCAAATGAATCTTTATATTTTGCCTGTGCTAACAGAACTTTTGACCTATTTGCAAGCCATTGCATTCAGAGAGAAATTGAGCAGGTGCAATTAAATCATAACAAGTCTTAACATCCATGTCTGAATCACCAAATCCTTTCACTTCTCTGCATGCTCTCCATCTCTCTCTCTTAGTAATGGAATGGCATTGACACAGCCATGCACATGTTCCCCTTTTGATTTCTTTATTTGCACTGCTTTAACCAAATATGCTGGAATTTTTGAGCTTTTTAATTCTCTACTAAAGGTACAAACATTTTCATGCTAATGCATTTGATTTCTTATTGATGCTGCCCGAATGAACTGATTCTTCAACCGATTGATTGACAGCTTCTCTTGCAATCTCTCTTGCCCTTGCATGTTGTCTGACTAGGTGACAGCTGTGGGCAGGCGGGGCTTAATGATGCCTCTTTGGAAGAGGGAGGTGAGATGTGAAGCCCAGAGCTGCAGCAGTACAAAATAAATCAACATTTTCCAATGGCCTGACTGTATCAGACAGCTTAACTGTAGAGTGTCCACCAAACCTGGCCATACTTGACCTTCATTATGACTTCCCTATAGCTTGAGATGTCTCCAGTTAGGCCCAATCCCAATTCTATTTTATACCCCTTCCCCTTCCCGTAGGGGTGAAAATATTCCCCTAAGAATTGGGACACCACTACTATGCCGTCACACGTCATCATACGTCGTCTAGCTCCTACAATACACACACCTATACTGGTGTGCATTAGAGCCTTTAATTACCGTTCTATATTAATGCGCTGCTTACTGACACACACATATATATATCGGAGATCGCGCAGCTCACACATCCAGGAGAAAAGAAACTTGTCAACGCTGCCCCACGACTTTTATTAATAACAGTTTAAATACTGAATCGCTACATTATATTTTCCAGCAACGAGAGGATAAAATCGCTGTTTTTTAAGTAAACTCACTCTAAAAAGAGAAACGCACAGACGCGCATACACGCATCTTTCATCTCTCTCTCTCTCTCGAATTGGCAATATTTGAGAAAAGGGTTTAGCGATTTCTAATTATTGGGGGAACTAGCCCCCCTCAATGTCT